TAGTCTAGGGAACATACTGTATTAATGTACTCTACTGCATATAATTTGTGAACATTTACATGATTTGTACACTTTGAACTCCCTTTCAGGCTGAAAGGGACTGAAAAAATTCATACCGAGAGATTCTTTAAATTCCCCTCTAATATATATTCTATTTTCTATGGTTACGTCCCATTTACTGGGGTTCCCGTAAAACCTTCATCTGATCTAAAACGAGGAAGCCATCATTGTTGTTTTCTGTTTCCTGGTACTACATAATATCCCCATTCTTCTATCTGTTGTATAATCAAATAACCAATAAATCATTTTAAGTTAGAGAAATATCGATATCTCATTAAAATTAGATCAGACAAAGGTTTAAAGGGAGTAATTACGCGCGCATGCAGTCCCTTTAATAGGATAAGATTAAAAGCATTAGCAACTGTGAACTGCATTTCTTCAACTAGCTTTTTATTCCTATTTTTTTTTATTCCTAACTAAAAAAGTATGTTTAATCTTAATTAAAATGTAGGTATATATTGTATAACTTAAAGGTGCAGATAGCAAATTTGATAATGTTAAAAGTTACAATTTTAAGGCAACATATATCTAAAGTCCTAAAGGTTAAAAAGCAGAGACATTTTTAATCTAAATCCAATTAAATGAATATGATATTACTTTTTGATGAATTATTTAGCTTTAAATCTCTAATTATATATAATTAAGCATAATTAAAAAGTAAGAAAACATAAAAATTGCAATCGTATTCCTAAATTTTATTTCAAACCTTTTTTGAGAAAGCGTTTTCTATTTCATAATAATTATTTCGCCCCCTATAAAGCCCTTAAATTGCTATGTGTGCCTTTATCAAATATTTCATAAAGATTTTAGATCGTTAACTCTGTTAATTAAACCCCTACTGATAATTGTAATTAAACTCCGTCAATTAAACAAATTATAAATCATAACAAAATGTCGCCCACTAAAAACTGCATACATGTTCATATACATTCGGGGGGTTTTGCGCCTCTTACATTTTCTTGACGAATAGCAAAAAAAAGGTTGGCCTCTAAAGAAAATTCAAAAGAAAAAAGAATAAAAATATTTGGATCGGAATGAAGAAGTGGGGGTTTGCATAAAAGATTAAATTTAGGAAGGATAAAAACTTTTTGACCACATTTTTTAAATTCAGATGAAAGTTTAAATCTGATTTATTGATTCCATTCCATAGTCTGATTGAAGATTGGGAGTAAAGGTAGAATATCAACAAGAGATGGGGGAAGGGATCCCCCTCCCCCCCTTCATTTAGGCAGGTTTAGGGCATCCATTAAATGCTCACGCGTCATGATGTTTTATCACTGAATTCTTTGTTTTGATCTCCTCCCACTGCAGTACACAGATTTAATGCATCAGATTTGGTGGTTCCTAGTCTATATATTTCTTGGTAGAGAGCGTCTTTTATCTATTAGTAGGGACCAGGTGCCCTTGTTGTGTATATTCTAGTAAAATACCCAAAATTTCAAATATTTTTCAAGATTTTCTTTCAAATACTCAAACAGTAACAGCCCTCGTCTGTATATACAGGGTTATATATTGTTAAATCTGGACCAAGCACCTTGTCGGAAATATAACTACTCAAAGATAATTTGTGAAGTATATTTGAGACTCGAGCTATAGATATATTTAGAGTTGATCCTCAGTATTTGTCAAATAAACCTTTATTGTGTAGAAACATCTATTATATCATTATAATAAATGGACTCAAAACTTTAGGCGACAACACTATGAGGGGGGGGGGAAGGATCGACATTTTTTTATTGTGCTTAATATACTTCTTAGAGTTAATGCTAGTTCAATCATCAATTTACGGTATTTTCTTTATCTTTCAAAATAAATATATTAATGAATTTTTTATTGTGTTTAATCTCTCAATGACTCATAGCTATATTTACCATGTTTGAGAATTGTATGCAGATAATAAAGATGAAGAATCTGAATTGAATAATGCGCGAAACTTGGCGGAGTATATTCCCGCATTTTATTCCCCCGTCCAACCGCGAGGAACGGAGAGAATATCCGCGTAATTTGGTTTGGTGGCGGGGGATCTCCTCCTGACCGGTGAATTGAAGATTGAACCCCGGATCCCGGATCAATTAGCGGGGAAAGGAGCGCAACAGGCTTCCGAAAAATTAGTTTCACCTGTACCACAGTAGCAGTAACACAAGAGCAAACACAAACATATCCTTGCACACAGACACAATTGTGTTTTCAGTGAGATATAAACTGTTATAAAAAAGAGAAATTATTTCAAAGTTAATTTCATCTTGTGTCTTCAAATTAGATATAAAGGTAAGGAACAACGAAACCGATTCATTTCTAGGAAGAGATTTTTTTAACACATAGAAAAAAGGACAGAAAATTTATTTCTTGTTTTGATTTTGTTAAAAGGATGAGTCGTACACCCCATTTATAGAGTTGCATGTTTGATTAGCAACGAAATCCTTAAAAGAATGAACGGGGTACTTAACTCTTTAAAAAAATCAAATCTCTCTATTATGGTTTACAAAAATGATTTCCACATCTTCTGCTGATGATACAATAAGAAGAAATTTTTAGAATTAAATAAAATTTTAATCAGAGAAAGATTTAAAAGACACCATTGTGAATCGGGATATGCCCCTCTTTTAAATTACAAAGATAGTCCCTTTAAGCCAGGATTTGAGCTACCACTAGCTAAAACGGTTTGCTTGAGTTGAAAAATGAAAATTTGAGTTTAAAACATCCATTGTTCTCAAGCCTCATAACTCTTACAAATACTACCATATACGAGCAAGACAGATAAAAAGGGGATGGGGAAGAGGAGACGGGGATGGGGAAGGAGGGAAGGGTAGGCGAGGAAAGGGGATGGGGAAGGAAAAGGGGAAAGGAAAAGGGGAAAGGAAAAGGTAAGAAGTTGACTAGTTTTATAATTATAAAAGCTGAATGGATACGACATATTTTCTGTATTTTTTAACCCATAATTTAAAGTTAGATTAATTTTTTATAATGGATGCGAGGAGGATGGGGGGAGGGGGTTAATTTATGTAATTATGGTAATTTATGACTACCTCTAATTAGTGCAAACCTAAGGCCCTAGATGACAAGGATTTATGATAAAAAACGAACACTTGCCTTAAAATATTCTATTCCCTATATCTTTGCAACCTGATCATTGCTATTTCAAGATATCACTTTTTGATCTTTTAGAAACATGTGAAAACGTTATCTGCGGAAACCATAAAGTATAAAATAAATTTTGGGTTGATAAGTTAATTTGTATAGATTTATATATTTCACTTGTGCATAGTTCCAGGTTGTCCAAAAAAAGTTATTCACAAAAAAAGAACACACGAACCCAAGAAATTGATCCAGAACTGATAAATTTTGCATTGATTTGTGAGATACCGGTGCAATTGCAATTGAGAAATTACATTTTTAATAATATATAAAAAGTAAAATTTATGGACAAAAATTAAATTTGCAAAGATTTTTTTTTTTTTTTTTTTAATTATAAAATAGTTGGTGAACCCTGTTCTATGGTAGTTCAGAGACCAAGATAGTTGATACTAAGTGGTTTTCTATGTAACCTCACTCTGGACCAGATAATTGCCTTTTAACGAGAAAAATAATTGTCTCTAATCAGAGTAGAGAGAGGGGGGGGGGGCCGGGGATAAAAAATATTTCTAAAAGATTAATATGATGCATATTTGTTTATTGATCGAATTTGTTTTTATTTGGTCAGCATTGCTGGCTATGCAAAATGACGCAATAAACGGGCTAAGTTACAATTGCAGATAAAGCTTTTTATAAAATGCGTCCGGGTTGGTAAAAAATATTTTTGTCGGCTTTTTAATTCAATAAGTGCGTCAGTTTTCTCAATAAATGCGTAAACTTTATTTGGTATAAAAATGCGTATCTTTAACTTTCATCAATTACTTCTTTTTTATTAACAATATGGTTGCCTCTTGTCTTTTATTTACAAATCCGTACACCTCAAAAGTAATTATTAACTAATAATCGTGTAAAGTTATTATCAATAAATACGTAAATACAAGTTCTCTATAATCTTATTAGTAAATTGACCCAAACAGATGCGTGATACTGTAATTAGAAATAAAGAAATATGAATATTTTAAGATCTGAAAGTTTTAAAACTTTCTTTGGTATTTGATTTTTTAACAATAATTTGCATTGTATTTGGTGCATGAGGAAACACATATTTTACCTAATTTTGATTAAACAAAATACAATATTGGTTTATGCACTCATTTAACTAACTCATTTTCACCCTTTCACGTAATATCAACTATGCAATAATTTGTACCCGTCAGTTTAAGTCATTATTGGTTTGATTAGGACATTCTTCTGTTGTTTGAACATCGTTCTTTATTCACCATCATCATTTCATAATTTTATTTAACTACAAAGCAGGAGATATTACAAATAATTAATGAAATAACAAAAAACTCAAGACATTTTGAAATATAGAACCCCGAATAGAAATCTAATTTTTGATTGATTTTTATAAAAATAATAAAAAAAAGGAGTTTTTATCAAATCCTCTGAGATCTGCTATTAGGTAATAATGGACTAGGGAAACATCAAATGTCTAAAGTATATAGTGCAAGAATTCTGATTCTTTTAAGTATTTCAACTTGAAACTTGATGCCGGCGCATATTTCAAATTTCAGCGATTTCTCAAGAATTTAAGGATTCGTCAATCATACAGATTCTCGTTTTAAAGATGATGAGCAAAATTTTACTTAAATATATTTTAGACATATCCTAAACCCCCCCCCCCCACACTCCATATTTGCTCTTCTATTGCGGAAATGGTAAAAATCCTTGTTTAATACCTGCAAACTTAATGCTTCTAAACAAAGAGAAGTTAAAACATTTTTTGCCGATCAAATCTTCTTTGTTTGACGCTTTTGAACGAGAAATTCTATCTGACATATTCATCACTTCTTTAAAATTGATTATATTTGTGAAAATGTGGGAACAGTTTTTTTACAAAGTGTATTTTCTATTATTTTCCTTTAATTGTTCTAACGGTTCAAACATCTTACGATGAGGATAATGATACAGTAAGAAATTAAATCAATTTAGAGTTGGAAGATTAGATACAGAACTTTGAGGATTTTCTTAAAATTAACTTGCGCCATTTTGAATGCACTGGATGCCGCGTAACAAACCTGAAGAATCCGTTAATAGACCGGAAGTATGATCTATACACCCACCGGAAACTAATGCTCTGGGAAAAATATAAAAATTCCTAGAATTTCGGAGATTCCNGATGGGTAAGGTTGTGGGGCGGTGTAGTCATAGTCTGTGATCAAAGTTTAAATTTTGAGACAAGGAAGGGTATGATGGGGGCGGAGGATGGGGATTGGGTTTGATATGGGTTGAAATTGCATTCTCTAAATTCATCTAAAATAGTTGTGTTCTAAAACAATGCTTTGATATCAGACCAATTCAGTCTTACAAACGTTAAAGCTGAAGCCAGATAGAAGATAGATAGCAACATAGAAGGGATGGACTGAATCCCACTTTCTAACTTGATCATTTAATCATTCGCAAATTATATAATTCTTTTTTATCACAATATAGATTTTTAAAAGAAATTAAAATGTGAGCTGTTAACATTTTCATCGATTTACATTCTACTCTTAAATTTTGAGACTAACCACAATCTCCTTTTATAATTATAAAAGCT